TATGCAAAAAGAATGTATGCAAAAAGTAATACAAAGTAGAACTCCCACAACTGCAGGAGCTGCGAGGGTGACCTGGGAAGACAAGAAGCCATTTGGGTGCCTGGGGAAGAGTCCCTTTGCTAGCCCATCCCTCTTCTCATCCCAGCCTCAGTGGGAAAGGCAGAGGCCAGAAGGCCCAAGCTAGAAGTGCCACACCACCACCAGCAGCATCCGGTGTGTTTGGTCATTACCCTCCCTTCAGCATCCTTCCTACTCCCACTGTCAACTCCAGACATAGCAAAATGGCAATCACCCAAGTCTGAGGGAATCCATCCCAACAATTCTTACTCTATTTTGTTATTTTCTTTAACATTTTATTTGTCCTCTTTGAGCTTTCTATTTTGTCTTTCCTCCATTTTCTTGTTCATCCCCCTAAAAGTGTTTTTTTTTTTTTTCCTTTCTGATGGTCAGTAAGACATTTGTCTTTTGAGGGTATGTAACGCAATATGAACTCCCTGTCTGTCACCGTTTCCACCCTATAAGATTAGCGGGGGAGTCTGTGTGGATCAGGCAGGGAAGAACAGAATGGTCTGCTGCTCCCCAGGGCCCGTGGTGAGACACACTGACTACCTGAGACGTGAATCTCAGGGCCTCTCAGATCCCAGGTAGGGGCATGTAGACACATGCTGCCCTTCGCATGAGATGGCCAGTGTGGTGGAGGAAGCATCAACGCCCTATCTTCTAGTCCTGAATGTTAGGTGGTTGAGGTAAAAGGGGAAAAGGCGAGGTGAAAAGCCTGCAAAGTGGTTTATCCAGCAACCTCTTAACCTCATATTCACCTTTCATCCTCAGCCTTTCTGAGGATCTATAATAGCATGATGACAATATTCAGACTGTCAATGTTAAGACTATAAGGAGTCCCAGGCCTGTCTGAATCAAGGATTAAATTTTATCAGTATTTCATTGAGCCATTTTCTAATTATTTAACAACTGTCATTCTCATCAGCCATCCATGGTGGTGTTGTGTGCTGATCTACGCTTATCAACACTCTTGTCAGCGTAATACCAGCTGTACCTGCCACCTCTGGACACAGGCTTCTTCCTATTCTGCATTATTTTGTGATTTAGCCCAGAAAAAAATGATGAATCAAGGCAGAAAAGCAGTGAAAAGGCTGTCCCCAAATGAGCATGTTCAAAGGCAAGGAGCTATCAAAATGTCACAAACTTCTGCTAGTAGCCTATCGTTGGAATGCTTTCCCAGCCAAATGTGCCTGCCTTGACAACCTCCCCCAGCTCATTAGATAAGGGGAGGCTTCCTGCTAACAGATGTTATGAACTTGGACCACACTCTGACAGGGTGGATTATCCCTGGCTTCTGGAGAGCAGTTAGGACATAGCATATCAGTGGGTGTCTGGGCACCTTTTGGACCGAGCATTGACATCCCAGCTTGGTCCTAATAATTCTCTCACATACCATGATTCTGCTACCTCATCTTCCCTATGTGTTTCCTGTGAAGTCAGGGTGGCTTCTCATTTTAAATGATATAGGAATGTACATTGACTACCACACAAATGCATGTTCCTTAGAGATTTCCCCACCCATGCCAGCAAAGGGACCAGCACATATCCACAAAGCAAAAAACAACCAAGTGGTCATTATAACTAAGAAAAGCACAATCATGGCTTGGCACCTGTAGCACAGTGGTTATGGAACCAGCCACATACACCTAGGCTGGCGGGTTCAAATCCAGCCTGGGCCAGCTAAACAACAATGACAACTGCACCCAAAAAATAGCCGGACTTTGTGGCGGGTGTCTGTAATCCCAGCTACTTGGGAGGCTGAGGCAAAAATATCGCTTAAGCCCAAGGGTTTAAGGTTGCTGTGAGCTGTGACTCCACC